TGAGAGTGGTTCGGTGGACGTGGAGATGAGGGAAACATCTGTTGGGGAAGGAGTCAGACAGGCAACCAAGCGTTCCTTGAAGGACATTGGTGAGTCTGCAACCGTTTCCTTAGAAGTGGGGAATAGGAAAAGGGTGAAAGGGAAACGAGCCGGTAGGAAGGCTGATGATCAACCAGAGAAGGATGCGGGGGTAGAACAAACCCCTGAACAAACCCCTGAACAAGGGGTAGAGGAGGAGATGGAGACGGAAGGCCTGAACGATGAACTGTAATGGCCCATACATCCATACCAAAGGTTCTTCAAGCTAACCTGAATCGCTGCCGCGCTGCCCAGGATCTCTTCCTACAGTCCATGGCAGAGCGCGGTAGTGGTTTGGGTATCGTGGCGGAACCGTACCGTGTGCCTAACAACCACCCGTGTTGGGCGTCAAGTCGGTGTGGCCTTGCTGCGGTAACGTGGAGGCAAACTGCTAGTCCCGAGCCCTGCACTAAACTAGTGGCGGGCGAGGGTTACGTTGCGGTCAAATGGGGACAGGTTGTGGTCGTCAGTGTCTACGTCTACCCCAAATAGGAGTGGGGCTGAGTTTCGGGACATCCTCAACCAAATGGGGATGTGTCTAACTAGGTTTGGTCCCGCCCCGATTGTCGTGGCTGGGGACCTCAATGCTAAATCGGCATTGTGGGGATCCCCGGTCACGAATGCTCGGGGGAGGGAAATGGAAGAATGGATGGCGGAGAGAAATCTGTTTTCTCTCAACCGGGGGAACAGATGGACGTGCGTAAGACCCAATGGGGGATCCATTGTGGATATCACGATGGTGAACCCGGAGGGATTACGCCGAGCCGAGGGATGGGGGGTGGTTGAGGATGTGGAGACAAGGTCGGACCACGAATATGTGGAGTTTTCCCTCCTGGTTACCCATCGCGAGATCGTGGAACGTCGACGAGTAGCGCGCAAGAAATTTCCGCGATGGCAGTGGCGTAAAGCGGATCGCGACCTGTTTCGTGCTGCGACGCTAACCGCTCTGTGGGAAGAGGATGTCCTGCGGAATGCAGTGACCAGCGTGGAAGACCAGGCCGAAAGGATCGGAGACATCATGAAGCAAGCATGCGATGCGGCGATGCCCCGATCCAACCCGATCCCACGCAAGGGAATGTATTGGTGGACGGAGGAGATTGCCGAGCTACGGCGCTCCTCCGTCCATGCCAGAAGGGTCTATCTCAGGGCAAGGGCCCGACAAGACCCCCTGGCAGAGGAGGAAGCTGGAGAGGGCTACCGCTCCGCCAAGCGGGCCCTCTCTAAGGCGATAAAGGTGGCCAAGGATCGCGCCTGAGAGGAGCTCCTCCAAACATTGGAGGAAGACCCGTGGGGACGCCCATACAGGATAGTTTTGAACAAGCTAAAACCCTGGGCGCCCCCCACGACGGAGTCTTTGGACCCCGAGTTTCTCGAGGATGTCGTGGAGACTCTATTCCCCGACGATGAGGGGGAAAGAATCAATGGTGCACCCGCTCCGCCTCCCGCGGAGTGGAACGAGGAGGAATTCGGGGTTACGATGGAAGAGCTCCAGGCTGCCGCTAGGAAACTGAAGGCGGGTAAAGCGCCCGGGCCCGATGGCATTCCCGGAAAGGCGTGGACTTGGACCACCGGGGAGCTAGCCGAACACCTTAGGGCCCTTTTTACCAGGTGTATGAGGGAAGGCCGGTTCCCCAGCCAGTGGAAGAGGGCCAAGCTGGTCCTCATCCCCAAGGAGGGGAAGCCAGCAGACCAGCCGTCGGGTTATCGTCCGATATGTTTGCTGGATGAGACGGGAAAACTGTTCGAGCGGGTGATCGCTGCCCGTCTCGCCCGGCATCTGTCCCGGGAGGGTCCGGACCTCAGTGAGGCCCAGTATGGCTTCCGGGAGGGTAGATCGACCATGGATGCGATCGCAAAGGTCCGAGCCCTCTTGAAGGCCGCGGCGAAAGAGGGCAGGGTGGTTCTGGGTGTCTCGTTCGACATCCAGAACGCGTTTAACTCCCTGCCCTGGCCGGTAATTAGGGAGGCGTTGGAACATCACGATGTGCCTCCCTATTTGATAGCGGTCCTCTACGACTACTTCCGGGACAGGAACCTACTGTACGTGGACCAGGACGGTAACCTGATGGTCAGGCTGGTTGTGAGGGGCGTACCCCAGGGGTCGGTACTCGGTCCACCATGGTGGAATCTGGGGTACGACTCCACACTTAGAACCCCTCTCCCCCCCGGGTGCTGGTTGAACGCTTTTGCGGACGACACCTTTCTGGGGGTGGAAGGGGAAACATGGGAGGAGGCCCGGAGAAGGGCTAATGTTGCAGTGGCGTGCGTAGTGGCCGCAATAAAAAGATTGGGACTCCGGGTGGCCCCCCAAAAGACCCAGGCCGTCTTTTTTCACGACGGTTCTATGGGAAAGCCGCCCGGAGTCCACATTAAAGTGGAGGATGTCCGCGTTCCGGTAGGGGCCTGTATGAAGTTACTGGGCCTCTGGCTTGACGGCACCTGGGGCTTTGGCGAGCATTTCGCTCGCATAGCCCCCAGAATGATGGCTACAGCCAATAGCCTGGCTCGGCTGATGCCGAACCTGGGGGGGGCGAGCGGATATGCTCGCCGGCTGTACGTTGCGGTGGTGCAGTCCGTGGCGCTCTACGGTGCCCCAATTTGCGCGCCCAGGGCGGCTAGCTCCGCCCGCATCAAGGCCCAGTTGAACCGGGTCCAGCGGGTGATTGCTATAAGAGCGTCGCGGGCATATCGCACCGTGTCGCATGCCGCGGCGACGGTGCTGGCCGGACTCCCGCCCCTCGAGCTGGTGGCGGCTTGTCACGCCGAGGTGTATAGGCGGACAAGACTGCTGCAGATACCGAGGGGCAAGCAGTGGGACAAGGCCAGCAGAGTTATCAAGCTCCAGGCCAAGGCGGTCCTGATAGAGAAATGGCGTCAACAGCTGTCCAATCCTGCCGTGGTTAAATACGGCAGAAGGACCGTCGACGCCGTCTTGCCCCACCTAGACGAATGGCTGGGTGGACGGGGACGCGGACTAACGTTCAGGGCGACGCAGGTGCTCACCGGGCACGGATGCTTCGGTGAGTACCTGTGTCGCATTGGAAAGGAGGCGGACACCAGATGCCACCACTGTAACGAGACGAGGGACACGGCGCAGCATACCCTGGAAGTATGCCCCGCTTGGGACGAGCAGCGCCGTGTCCTACAGGGGGAGATAGAGGTAGATCTTTCCCTCCCGGCTGTCGTGGCGGAGGCGGTCGGGGAAGTAGAGAAGTGGCGGGCATTCCTTGCCTATTGCGGCAAGGTAATGTCAGCCAAAGAAGATGCGGAGCGCGTTCGTCGCGAGCAGTACGATCATGCCGCGGCGAACGCGCAACAAAGATAGATCGTAGGTCAGGACTGACCTATGACGCCCCAATTGGGGTGATTTACGCGGTCCTCAGACCGCACGTACAGGTAGAGTGCACCCTGCAAGACTCCTCCTCTGACGAGGGGGGGCCCGCAGTATTAGGGCGGTGGGCTGTCGGCTGACAGTCAGCCAATTACGCCCCTGTACACAGGGAAGGGTGGCGGAACGGGGTGGTGTCTGTTCCGCCACGTTAGATGAATTAGGGCTATGCCCAGAGCAGGGAGCAAATCAGTTCAGCGCAGGGGGTGTCCAGATGCATACACTAGTTCCTGGGCACCCCTACCAATGCGCAGGTAGAAACACCCGTGAGGTTTTAGTAGGTAGGTCACGCGAGGCAGACTCGCGAGGCAGACTACCTCTATAAACAACTGTCCGGCCGGACGGGGCCGTGAGGGAAGAGCCTTTGCTCCCCCGACCGTCCTATGGGAAGGAAAACCCAGACAGAAAACCGGGGGTCCGGTCGCCCTGCTTAGGAGTCCGTCCAGTCGGGTCACCCCGGGTCTAGGCCCGGTACATCCCCGGCTGCACGGACTCCAACGGCCGGTAGGGGTTGGCGGCCCTGACTGCAATCGCCCGGTCGGCCGGGACCGCTAGGGGGGAGTTTCTACTCCTCCCGCCGGCCTAGAGGAAGGAAAACCTCAATAAAAAACCGTGGGGGTAGGTCTTGAATCGCTCGACCATTGCACGCCGGTGCCCCGGCGGGTCGGGTGATTCGGACTCGTTAAGGGGGGAGCGGGCCTCTCTCGTCCATTGCACGCCGGTGCTCCGGCGGGGCGGGGGAGGTTTTGCTGGGGTCTTCTAGGGGATCCGGGTGGGAGGTCCTCACCTCCGAGGCGCGCAGGGATGTCGTCTCGCCAAGGAGGTGGGAAGACCCTCGTCTCATTACCCATTGCACGCCGGTGTTCCGGCAGGGGAGACGGGGGTAACCCTCTTTCGAAAGTCTCTGTACGTGGTGCAGGGACGACCGGAGGAGAGGCCCGTGTTGGGGACGTGCACATCAGGGACGTGGTCCCGCGGTGTCCCCAACACGGAGGGCAGTCCCGAGCCGCTCCGACGTATTTGGGCTGCCTGGGTGGGTGACCCGTCGGGCCGCTGGGACATATTCCCAGGTCGGGGCCGGCGGTTCTGGTCACCAGACGTAAGGGCCGGTGACGAGTACGGAGTCCGTTGGGTCGACGGTGGCGCGGGCGCTCCGTGTCCCCTGCTCGTGCGTGGCGGGGACCGGGATCGAGCGTGCTCGATCGGGGCCGGGATCGAGATCTCTCGGCCGGCCACCCCTCGTTGCGTGCGGGTGGGGGTGGCGGGGTTCTTTCGTTGGCGTCGGCCGGCGGACGATGCCTCAGGGGTCGGGGGCGGTCTCTGGGGGTCCTTCGGGGTTTTCGGAGGGCGCTCTCGATACGGGTACGGCGAACCCGGGGGTACCCGAGGGCTCGGGCGGGCTGGGCTCGTGAGGCGGGTGATGCCAACCAGCCTAGGGGAAGGATACCCCGAAAATAAACCAAACAAAACCTTTATGGATAAATGTCTTATGAAGGAAAAACGCTTACAGGTCCAGGGGAGTCAGATACCCCAGGCCCGGCGGACGAGAGATGGTCTCAGGAGCAACGGCCTGGTCTCTCTCCGTCGTTAGCCAACGACGGGCATAACTATTCAACAACTGCATCGTTGAGGGCGAGCGGTGCAGCGGTAGGAGCGATCGCTCATACCACCAGATAGGGTGGTATTAAAGAGGCAGGGAAGGCGACCGATTCGTCGTCCTTGGGGGGAATTAGTCCCTCTCTGTCCGATTATGAATCGGAGCCGGAGCACCGAGCGACGAAAAAAAGGACGAGGAGAAAGGACGAGGAGAAAAAGGAGCGACGAGAAAAGGAATACGTTCCTCTCCACCACGTCTGACTCGGAGCTCGATTTGGGTAAGGGTGGTAACATTAGATCACACCCGAAAAAGATGAAGGATGAGTAAGTCGCCTCTCCTACTGAGACAGCGGCTAGGGAGTACGACCACCTCCCGAGTAAGAATGATCGTCAATCAAGTGACGAAGAGGACGACGACTGCATCGAAGTAGTCGAGATGGTCCGGGAGGAAAAGTCTCAGCCCGCGGACAGCCTGCCCAAGGAAACCTTCAGGCGCGCACAAGGGATGCTGGAGGAGACCAATGAGAAATTGACCAAGATGGGCGTTACGCTAAGTATAGCGAAGAGAAAAGACGCACGAGGTTGTCCCCCCAAAACCGGGACTTACTACCTGAAGCAACTCGAGGATGCGAGTAATAAGCTTATTGCCCAGGCTCAGGAGTTGAAGACGTTGAGGGACAATATGGTTCCGGCGAACCTGTCCCACAGCAGGAGGCTTGCGGAAAAGGTGGCGACTGAGGAGTTCAAAAACGCCCCATCCGCAACTCTCCCCAGCGAGGTGTTCGAAGTTATTAACAGCATCGATTTGGTCGCGGATAAGTCCACGAACCTGAAAGGTGAACACCGAGGCCTATTGAATATGGGTGCGGCCCGCATCAAGGCTGCGGTGACAGCTCTTGTCGAAAGGTATGAGGCCCCGGAGGTGGGCTTGACAAGAGATGTAGAAATGGAATCTCTAAGAGAGCAATTAACGGCTCAGGAAAAAGAGATGAAGACCTTGCGACGTGAGAGGGCACGAATGGAGCAAGCGCGACACGAAGAACGGACTCAAAACGAGTCCCTTCAAAAGGAACTGCGTGAGCTCCGCTCTGAAATAGAACGTCTTAAGTCGCAACGGGCTCCTGAGGAAAGCGTACATCCACCGTCATCGACTAGGTCGAGGCCAGCTCTTGACAGGGAGGCTGGCAAGAGGCTTCTTTCACCGGCGTTTACCACATCGTCGGAGGTCGAGGATGAAGACATAGAGATGGCCGAGACATTCGGCGTTGAGA